GGCTAGAGGTTCACTGCAGACAGCTGCAGAGGGGTCTTCTCTGCTAGATCCCTTCTGGGCTGGGCAGGGCTAGACAAGATGGTCCTTTTGTAGGCAGTACCCACTCAACCATTATCCCAGTGGGTATCTTCCAGTCTCTGTCATGGAGGACTCTAGGCCACCTCTAGCTTTGGCTCTTGTGAGCGGCACTGGAGTCCAGAGGCTCTTCGGTTCATTTCCTCTGCTTTTTCTCAAGTATCAGACAAGTCATGCTATATCCTTATTAGCTCCCAACAAGATCAGATCATCTGGTCTTTTTGTTTTTTGACTCGCCATGTTCTAACTGCCCGGTCCTCTCTCCCCACAGGGTGGGTGTAGAGGGGCCGCTCACCTGACCAGTTCCTCATGGCACAGCACGGTTACATCGGCTTTTAGCGCCTTCTTTGCACAAACTAGAAAAGGTTCTCAGCCCCTGTCATGAGGGACTGCATGTACTCTGTGATGCCCAGTATCTCTGGCTATGTCTCTGTGATGCTGGGAAGATGCTCAGGACTCCCTGTCTCCCTTCCCCACATCTCCCCTGCAGACACCTTCATTCTCTTGTGCCTCTGCTGCCTCCTTCCCAGAGAGAAAAGTCTTGCTGCTATCGATGCCTTGTGATTACAGCTAAGTTGGGAGCTCGATAAATCAAGGCTGCATCTGTTTGGCTGGAGGATCTCAGGCTATGTGCCTGTTTCTGGGGTGGGGGCAGTGGAAAGGCTTGCAGCAACCTCTTTCCCCCCGGCTCCCATTTTCTTAGCAGGCCAGAACTAAGGGTGCAGCACACCTGCCTTGTGATTATTCCCAGCCAGTGCACGTGTTCACACTGTCCGGCCAGTGCATCTGTCTGGCCAGCGCATGTGTTCACACTGTCCAGACAGATCCATGCGAGCAGTCAGCCAGCTCCACCTGGGGGAGGGAGGCGAACCTCTGCCCAGTGTGGAGAGCTCCCTCAGCAGGAAGTCTTTCTGTCTGAGAGTCACCAGGCCCCTCTGGGTAAGGTGGCATGGACATCTACTTTCAGTGGGGCAGCATGGTTCTGGGTTGGTTATCACCTCCAGAGAAGCCTGTACATTTTGTTCTCAATTCATTACAAAATGTAAGATATTTAATATGTGTGTTACTTATAGAAGTTGTGATATCCAGGAGCAAGGTTCGAAAAGAAAGCTGAATTAAAAGGTGAAGCAAAAGTCACCCATTTCTGCTATGCCTCTATGTGCCCCGTCCTGCCCCGCCCCGCCCCGCCCCGTCCCGCCCCGCCCCACCCCCTAGGGAAGTCACTGTAGCTTAATGGCATTAGTCACATACCTGTAATGAGTTTTTACTATGTCTGTCTGTCTGTATATATTTTTAGCCTGTTTTGAATTTCTAAATTCAAACAGATCTTCTTTTTTAAAAAATCATATAAAAAGGTAGAATTACAGCCATTTAAAGTTTCTTAAATTTATTTTTTTTATGTGTGTGTTTTGCATGCATGAATTAATTGTTTGCCTACCTGTGTGTGTATGTGCTATGAGACTACCTCGTGCCCATGGAAGCCAAAAGAAGGCATCTAATTACCTGGAGCCAGAGTTGCAGATGGTTGTAAACGACTATGTGGGTGCTGGGACTCAAACCCAGGTCCTCTAGAAGAGCAGCCAGTGTTCTTACCTGCTGTGCCATATCTCCAGCCCCAGAATCATAGCCTTTTGGGTTTTACTAGCATGCCAAGTGTTGTCCTAGAAGATTAAAGTACTCTTGAACCTTGAATTTGACTGGTGCAGGTGAATACTGCTTTCTCAGTGGCTTCTGTCTGGACTATAGAGAAGCGGGCTGTCTCTGCAGATAGTTTCCAGGGGGACAAGGATGGAAGGTCTTAGCTGGTGTTCCTGGGCAAGCAGGGCCACACAGGACACAGGTGTCTGCTGCTGGGAGGCAGGTGGGCTAGGCTGACTCTGCCAGTAGCCAGGGGGGCAAACATGAGGCTGAGAGCCACCTGCTGAATGTGGCACTTCAGGACAGACAGAGAGATGCCGGCGTGGACAGGAGGAGAATGTAGAGTGGGCTAAACAGCTGAGATGGAGTTCCAGCATGCTGCCCTTGTGCTGGCAGGCTGGGACGCTCCGGGACAGAACAGAGCTTTTACAGTTTGTGGGGTGCACGTTACTACCCTCTTCCTGCTATTTGCTTTTCGTTCTATTTCTAGAATACCTACTATGTGCCAGGCTCACTGTGGGTCACATCAGTCAGAGATAAGACAGGAGGCGGGCTTTCCTGGCCCCGCTCTGTGGTCTAGAAGGAAGCCAGCTGGTCTCCCCACTCACAGTGGCTAACAACAGCCCTGGGCCGGCTTCTGTTCAGCTCCTCTGCCTTCTGAGCCTCTGGCAGAAGACGCAGCTCTCTGTGGCATTTGCAAAGCTTGGTGAGAAGTTCAGATGAGGTGGGGAAAATGGTGGCTCGGGAAGTGTCTGCTCCTGCCCTTCTGCTGCCGCCCCGTCTGCCTGGCGCCTGGCGGAGTCCGTCACGAGGCGGTGCTGAGATGTGGGCACAGGAGGCAGGTGTGGGTCATGGGGCAAAGAGCCATGGGCATGAGCATGAGGAAAGGCATAGGCTACCCCCTCCAGGAGGGTGGAGTCTGCTGAGGGAAAACATTTAAGTCTGTAACTGGCGTAAGCAGGAAGTTACAAAACTAGTATGAAAAGGCCTTATGAGGAACTCCAGGAAAGATTTAAACGTTTTCAAAATAAATTTACACACAAAAGAATATTTTTGCCCAAGTAAGATGTAGAGAGTCTGTTTTAAAACTAGTTTGTAACCCTCCAGTCTGAAACTGAGGGTCATTATAGAGAGCCAACCCAGAGGAGGAGGAAGGCTGAGCCTAGCCACAGTGGTCTCTGTCCCAGCCGCACAAGCCGTGGGTACAGCTTAGTTGTTGTTACTGAGGAGGAAGAGAGCGCCTCAAGTAAGGAATTGCTTCCATCAGAATGGCCTGTGGGCAAATCTGTACAGCAGTTTCCTGATTAATGTTTGATGTAGGAGGGTCCAGGTCTCTTTGAGTGGCACCACTCCTGGGCGTGTTGTCCCGGGTTGTATAAGAAAGAAAACTGAGCAAGCCACAGGGAGCAAAGCTATGAGCAGCGTCCGTCCTGGTCTCGGCTTCAGTTCCTGCCTGTAGGTTCCTGCCTTGGTCCCCTTCCTGACAGACTGTAGCCCGGCACCCAGCACAAGCGGCCTTTGGTTCTCCTGCAGCCCAGCCTGCTGCCTGCTGGCACATCCCACATGCAGATGTCCTTTTGCTCTGGCTGTATAGACTCCCAAAGTCAGCCTTACCACACAGTCCTGTCCATATGGCTTTAGATGAATATGCTCTCATTTACTCCAAATCAGTGGTGTTTGAGGCCTGGGCCTGGCTTCATTCACAAAGCTGGGTGACAGCTGGAGGTATACCCAGTGATTTTAGAACTGTTAGAGCTGGCTGCAAAGCACTGTTCACCTGGGTTCATAGTTAGTGTGGGGACCGAGCATTTCACTCTCTCACAGTGAGCCCATATCCAGCTGTACTCCAGCGAGCTGCTTTGCAAATGCTGGTGGTTTCTTATGGGATGATTTGTGTTTTCTAAGGCAAGGACTCTTCCTTTCTTTTAAATGGTTCCCCACAGGCCCTGATAAGAGAGGCATGCTGAGTGGGTGCATAGGAGATGCATGCTGAGTGGGCGCGTAGGTTCTGCTATCTCTCCTTTCTTTGAACCTCCACCAGGTTGCCAGGCCCTGGGCCTTTGCAGGAGACTGATTATATGCAAGCCTTGATCCTGAGAAATTGACAGGCAGAGAGGGAGGAAAGACAGATAACACATCTGGGCCAAAGGCAAAGGTGCAGAATCAACTAGGCACAGTTTCAGTGCTCTGAACCCCAAGCCACGTGACCCAAGCTATCTCAAAGCCCTTTAGGGCTCAGCTCTGTAGCCAGACAAGCATTTGGCTGAGTGCTAAGGTCTTTTATGAGTTGTTTAACCTAGGAGAGCTTCAATTTTTTTTTTTTTGATTGAGACTTAAATGTAAAGAGTTAGGAGAAGGGACCCAAAAGCCACCATTGCTGCTGATAAAAGATGACAAGAGGTATGATTTAGGAACCTCTAACCTTGAATCCTAGAGTTAGGTAAACATTCCCATCGTGTTCAACTGAGGATGCTATTTTTGGAGACTCTAGAAATGTTAAGAAATGGAAGCTAAGCCAGGCATTGGTAGTGCACGCCTTTAATCACAGCACTGGGGAGGCAGAGGCAGGAAGATCTCTGTGAGTTCAAGGCCAGCCTGGTCTATAGAGCCAGCTCCAGGACAGCCTCCAAAGCCACAGAGAGACCCTGACTGGAAAAACAAACAAGCAAACAACAACAACAAAAACAGAAGTTAGTTGAATAAAGTGAGCCAGCTGGGAAATGTCCCTGCAGCCTGTGTCTTGTGTCCTGTCTTGGGCTCTCTCCTCTTTCCCGCCTTGATCCCTGTCCACCATCATAGCCTCCCACCATGATGGGATGGAGCCATGAGCAAAACAAATCTTCCTTCCTTTTAAGCTGTTTATGACCAGCATCTGTCACAGTAATGAGAGAGCTGGTTACTAAGAATGTTCTCAAGCATTTCCTCTGTGTGGGAGGATTCGCTAGGAAGCCTTCAGAGCTGAAGTGGGAGGGCTTCGTGGGTCATATAGAACTCCACATGCATTAAATTTCATATAATCATCGTGTTTTATAAATGATGACAGTAGAGCCTACTGTTAATTAAAATTAGCTTCCCAGTGCTTCTGCTGTGTTTTGTAAGTTATCTGGCATACTTTGAAGAAAACGAAAGGCCAATCCCAAGTTAGAATTCTGAAAGCCAGGCAGGGTAGGCCTCTCCTTTCTCCATCTTCGTCTCTTTGAAGACAGGATGCCAGCCTCTTCCTGGAAAGCCGAGTGCTAGTCTGTGCTAGCTGTGTTCTGATGGTCTGTTCTGTCTCTCTCTTGCAGTGCAAATTGGAATTCCACGCTTGTTCCACAGGCAAAAGCCTCAGTTCCCTCTGCGATGGGCCCTGTCCGTGTCTGCCTGAGCCTGAGCCTGAGCCACCGAAACCCAAGGCAGAAAAGAGTGGTGAGTGAAGGAGGGTTCACGGGGTCAGGGCAGGCCTGCGTGGCCAAGCCTATCTCAGCTACCAGGAGTCAAGCAAAGTTGCGACAGAGCTATTCAGGCCCATAAAGGGAATATGAGCTGACTTGACAAGTAAGCTTCTAACCATTAAAGAGAAAAAGAAGAACAGAGAGGCTTTTAAAACAAATCTGTTAGGCCAAGGTGTGTGCTGGCTTCTTTAGATGGTAGTTTAGCTCTGCCACGGGCAGGGCAGGTTTCCATATTCTAAGACCACGGCCTGCCTTTGGGTTTACCTTTCTCCAGCTGCAAACTCTAGAATCCTTTGAACCTCTCAAAAGCAAGCATCACAGAAACAGCAGAGATAGCATGTCAGAGGAGAGTTTGTATCCCTAAGCATTCCTTCATTGATGCATTCTACAGGGGCCTGGCATAAAGCCAAGAGGCGGTTGAAAGAGAGAAGTTCTCTGGGGCCACTGCTTCTGGCCCACGATTGAGAATGCTCGGTCACTGGGGTGTTTCCGAATGGGGAAATGGCATGGCCCATTGACCGCTGCCCCTTCTGAAATCCAAGCCTGAGTCTTCCTTTAGTGACACTGGTTGTTCTTAGCTGTGACTGGCTGGCTCATAGAAAGCCCTGTATGTGCATGTATGCCAGTGTATGTGTGTATATGTGACCATGTGTCTCCCAAAGCTAGAAGCTTCCTAAGATGAAGGAAATGAACAAGATGAGAGATGATATAATTATTATTTGCCATGTGGTCTCTGAGAAGGCAAGTTGATAAAGACTTCAAGTCTGGTCTGGGAGGCCCAACTTCAGAGACATTACGGACTCTCTGTGTGGGAAGTTTAGTCAGAACAAAACAGATCGTGAAACACTGTGATTGTAAATAACCAACAAAGATTATTAGTGGTTTCCCACTAGCCCGTCTCTTCGCATTTGAGGCCAACTTATGTACAAAACTGCATACTTAAAAAATAGGTATAATGTATAATACCTCATTAGATTTTGATGAGAAAAGCCGAGGCCATTGGGTTGAAGTTGTAGGTATTGAAGCTGTTGGCCGGGGAAGTCAGACTCTTTGTAGTTCAAGTCCTCAAGCTCATCAAGAAAACTTAGAGGTTGTGCACAAAGGCCCAGCAAGAAAAGCTAATTTAGGAAGTGAAAATGTGTGAGAAAGCAAAAGTATGCACTGGGTAATAGCACGGGTGTCTCTGAGAGCGAGGCCCATACTGGGACCGTTAGAGTGTTCCTCAAGTGGGTTGGAGGATGCTCGGGGTGGAGGATTATCTGGGGGGGGGTGACTATCACTTCTTCCTTTGATGTGGGTCAGATCCTAGGGCCCCCATCAGGTTCTGAAGTCAGGCACAGTGCACAGTAGAGACAATGTCTCCTTAGTTTGCCCTTGATGATGGGGTGTCATCTACTGGATGCTACCGGTCATGGTGGAAACTGCCTGCTCTGGGTTTTATTTTGTGACTAGTGGTTATAGTTTAAGATCTGGATAATACCCCAACAGACTAAGTCCCATCTGTCCACCTTGGAATCCTTTCTCATTAGCTACGTGGTCTAGAAAATTCTACCTAAAATTCTCTGGAGTCTTATTAGGAAGTTGTGGATGGCCCTCTCTATTCTAGATTCCATGGCACTCTGAATTCAATGCTATTCTAGGGTTACTTTTGTTTTTTTTTTTTTTTTTTTTCTTGTCTTTGCTCCTCTGTTCTGAAGGAAGGGAACTACCCCAAGAAGGCCTCTGTTGCTTTGCCTGTTGTATGCACAGATGTGGTGACAATGAGGGCCACCAGCTGTGTAAGGCTTCAGTGTTCCTCACAGTGAAGTAACAGCCGCGTTTTCTGGGACTGTTTTACTTCTCCAATGAAGAAAGCCTATGTTGCTATAGTGACCTTCACCGCTGATGGCAAGGGGTTTCTTAAGCATGACCTTCCAGGTATGGTGCTGGCTGCATCATCAACTGTAGCTGGAGATTCTTGTCCAGCCAGGTCCCACAGCTGATTTTCCCCAAATAAGCACACAATATTAATTATTGAATTGTTGGCTGATGGCTAGGGCTTCTTATTATCTAGCTCTGTCTTAGTTATCAACCATTATTAACATTTTTTTTTATAAATTTATGTATTTCCACATGGTCTTGGCTTACTGGAGAATGCCTGGACTGGACCTGTTACTCCTTTTGGTGGTTACATGGCATCTTCCCATGGTCTCGCTCTGCCTACCTTTCCCAGAATGTTCCATGTCTCCTAGTCCCACCTATCTTCCTGCCTCTATTGGCCAAACAGTGTTTTATTCACCAACCAATAAGAGAAACACATATACAGAAGGACATCTCCCAGCAATCAACTCAGGCAGACATTCACTAGTAGAGACTAAAACCAATTCCTTATGAGCACCACCATTAAACATGGAAGGACTTGGGGGTCAAAAGTGCCGTCCGCACCTGCATTCTTCTGAAAGGTGGGTAAGGATGAGAGAGCTGTTTACAAAGATTTCAAGACAGCTTGTTAATGCTGGGAGACAGTTCAGAAAAGCAGGAAACGCATGTTAGCGCAGTAGAAAAGAGAGCACTACAAATGTCAACAGCATCCCAAACCGCATCCCAAACCGCATCAGCGCCTTTCAGCATCCCAAACCGCATCAGTGCCTTTCAGCATCCCAAACCACATCAGTGCCTTTCAGCATCCCAAACCCCATCAGTGCCTTTCAGGTGGCATGCCAGTTCTTCCTTCAGAACCTTGCCCCTGGGCCGAAACGGTTTCTGAAAGTTGTCTAAGAAATATCACCTTGGAAGCCTCACTTGTTCCTTGGACTATCAGTAGCTCATCCATAGGGAAAGATCTTTCTCCGGGATTTTGAGACTGGCCTTCTGTGCTAACAATCCCACTTCTGAGCTCGGAGTTAATGTAGGAATTTTCAGTTAAGCATGAGGTGAGGCAGCAAACAACAGCCAAGAGTAAGACTGGAGACTGTGGTGTGCTTCACCCTGCACCCAACGTTACTCTGCTAGGGGAAAGTCTGCCCCTTCCGAGACGGCCTGTTAATGACTTAATGTGGGGCTAACTGGTGCTCCCTGGACAGACACCAACGCGGATGGTGACAAGAGCTTTGACAATCCCTCAGGGTCATCACATTACATCTACATTCATAATGCTTGGCCTGAACAAATCTGATCAAGGGGAGGCTGACCTTTTCCTGGGAGTGATAACAGTTCTTTCATGAAGCTCGCAGAGTGACTTCTAACAGGCAACAAGAGCTGGAACGATGAGGAAGGCTGATTATCGGCGAGAGGTCACAAGTGAAGCAAAGGGCAGATCTCAGGAGACAACCGAGCTACAGTGAAGGGAGGGTCAGAGGAGGAAGGCTGAGCCTGAGCCTTCCTCTGTTACCTGTCAGGGTCTGAAGCAACAGACAGTAGGCATGGCTAACAGTGGGCGTGGTCAGCAGTGGGCGTGGTCAGCAGTGGGCATGGCCATCAGTAGGCGTGGTCAGCAGTGGGTGTGGTCAGTAGTAGGTGTGGTCAGTAGTAGGTGTGGTCAGCAGCAGGTGTGGTTAGCAGTAGGCATGGCATCTACAGGAAGTCTTTGACTCTAAAACACTTTGTGACTCTGGCCTGGGGCCCCAGGACTCTTGATCCCTGTAGAAATCACATTTTTGTGGTATCACACATACTAGAGTCGCAGACACGGCAATGCCGTTAAGTGGCATTGTTAATGGTCTGCTTCAACACTGTTTCTCTTTTGAGCCTCTGTGTCTTCTGCTGAAGAACATACTGGTGTCACTGCCAGGTATATTCTGTAAACTCAGCCTTGTCTCTAAACTGCAGGAAGTAAGGCTAGGAGGGGGCTTGCGAGCTGCAGTATTATGGGAGGCCGTGTCCAATACAGTTCACCGTCCTTTGCCATTAACCAGCTATACGGAGTTCTCACCATCTTCAGTTAGTTGGTAACCAATGTCCATTCCTACCAGGCCCGAGGTCTCTCTGAGGTTGCTCCCATGACCTCTATGCATCATATTGATTAATGTCACACGGAGTCCTCTCTCCTCTGCCAGATGTGTCTGTCTTCATAGTCCCGTTGCCTGCCAGATGTGTCTGTCTTCATAGTCCCATTGCCTGCCAGATGTGTCTGTCTTCATAGTCCCGTTGCCCTATTCAAGGGCACAGATGAGTGAGGCAGCTCTTGAGTGGTGTTTGGGCATCGAGAAGGCCACAACAAAGGTTGGAGCCTCAAGTCTTTCTGTGGGTCTTCTCACAGCCTTTTCTGTTCTGCTCGGAGAGTTTTGGCCTGATGCTTGCCTCAAACTGGCTTTCATGTTGGCAACGGACCTTCTTCTGGGTGGGGCCTCTCCCACTGTCTTCGATTTCAGGATTGCTTCTTCCCAATCCAGGATAAGAACTGGGTCTCGGGTGTGAGGTAGAGAGTACAGGGGTAGGGAGCACGGGCTGGGGAGCACGGGGCGGGGAGCACGGGGGCGGGGAGCACGGGGCGGGGAGCACGGGGGCGGGGAGGCACGGGCTGGGGAGCACGCGGCGGGGAGCACGGGGGGGGGAGCACGGGGCGGGGAGCACGGGGCGGGGAGGCACGGGGCGGGGGACGGGCTGGGGAGCCAGGGGGCGGGGGAGCACGGGGCGGGGAGGCACGGGGCGGGGGAGCACGGGCTGGGGAGCACGGGGCGGGGGGGAGGCACGGGGCGGGGAGCACGGGGCGGGAGCACGGGGCGGGGAGCACGGGGCGGGGGGGGAGCACGGGGCGGGGAGCACGGGGCGGGGGGGAGCACGGGGCGGGGAGCACGGGGCGGGGAGCACGGGGCGGGGAGCACGGGGCTGGGGAGCACGGGGCGGGGAGCACGGGGCGGGGAGCACGGGGCGGGGAGCACGGGGCGGGGAGCACGGGGCGGGGAGCACGGGCGGGGGAGCACGGGGCGGGGAGCACGGGGCGGGGAGCACGGGGCGGGGAGCACGGGGCGGGGAGCACGGGGCGGGGAGCACGGG